CCACCTCACTGTCGGGTATGTGGATGTGAGTGTTGGGGCCAGGAAAGATGAGGGAGAGGGAGGGGAAACAAGAGCCAGAGCAGTGCCATGAAACAAGAGAACAGGAAAAGGAAAACATAAGCAAGCTACCCTCCCTCTCCCGATGAACCGACGCAACGAAAACTGACAAGTTTCTTTTGTCTGCGCCTGACCCTGCACCCGCCCATCTGCAGCAACATCATGCCATGCGGCCCTCATCTCCAATTATTTAATGAAGCCTATGCCCAAGCCAGTAACCATTCCAACTCTTTGCCAACCAGTCTCCATGACCTGATAAAATACGCCTGAAGAGGCAAACCGACCGTTCTGGTATTTTGAGAAGAGAACCTATTGTTCATAGCAGAGCACCAAGTGCTCGCAGCTTCCACCGTGGAGTCGAAGCGAATTGCCTTTCTCAATCACCGGCCCTTCAATTGATACACGGTGCATGATCGAGACCCTGCCTCCCCCAGTGTGGTCATGATGCACTTCTTAATCCGACCTCGAACGGATCTTCCGCTTACTATTCACGCTCCTGTCGTGTGGCTCGTCGTCTGGCACCCACTCTTCAGGGTGGAATTGTGGGTTATTGTAGTGGGCCTTATTGAAGTGGCTGTTCTTGAACATGGTCGTAGTAAAGTTTGGTTCCATATAGCCATTCTGAGAGAGCATCGACGTCGGCTCGGTGGGAGAGTTCTTCAGGTGGAAACATTGGGAGCTGAACCCGCAACTGGTAGTCGACAGGCTGACTTGGCTTGGAGGGAGCGGCTTGGCTACCTGTCGTTGACGAGGGGGGTGGTTGTCGGGGTTGAGTCCGCAGAAGACCAAGGGCCGCTGACGGGGCCGGCGGCGCGGTCTGCTGCATGGCGGAATCCGAGAAGGGGGCCGACAGCCAGGGAGTCTGCGGCGAGGGGTCGTAAGCGTTGTGCATCGGGGACACTGCCGTGGGTGATGCCAAAGAAGACATGGCGGAAGGCGGGCCGCTGAACCCGGGCAACATGGCCACAGTGCGCTAAAATCGACAGTTGAGAAGTTATGCAGGGAGGGTGTGGCGCTTG